TCTTTACTCTAAAATGTGTACCCAGGATTTTCTTCTGAAGATTTTATTTATTTATTTGAGAGAGCATGCACAAGCAGGGGGAGAGGCAGAGGGAGAAGCAGACTCCCCGCCGAGCAGGGAGCCCGATGCGGGGCTCGATCCCAGGACCCGGGATCATGAGCTGAGCCGAAGGCAGACGCTTCCCCGACGGAGCGCCCCCAGGCGCCCCCACCCCCAGGATTTGTTTTACTCAGATATGGTAAGGTGACAGAAATGGAAACACCCACCTTTGGAAGGATAATTTATTACTTACATTTCCCAGGAGAAGGGGATACCCCGCACCATGTGGGGCCACGGGGGAAGCACCGGTCGGAATCAGAACGGAGAAGCAGGAGCAAAGGGAATGTGGCCCAGAGCCGTTATTGGGGCTTCCACGGGAAGGAACGGGTGAGCAGCCGGCACAGGGAGTAAGTTTAGGATCGGGTACTTTGAAAAAATCGGGCAGGCCTAGGCTATAGTGGCGGTCCCTAGTTGTCCAGTGTCTGGCCTTGGGGTGATGTGCGGCAAGGGGGTGTTGGCTTGGCGTGTGAGAGCGTTGAAAGCTGGGTCGGGGGTGTGGGCTCTCTCCAGGAACTGTGTAGCCCTAGGAGGGGCACTCTCTCCAGGGCCAAGGCCCCAGATGCCGGAGCATCGAGAATGGAGAAAATAAGCAAATACAGGCAGGGGAGAAAAAGTTGTTACCTGCCTAGAGATATAAGCCAGATTTTATTTAAGAGGGAAAAAATAAGATCCTGCCCTAAGAGAAGAAACAGGGTGAGGGGGTGCTGCTGTGGTTGGAGCTGTCCCAGGGGAGGCTCCTGCTGGCCCTTCCCTCCCAGTTTCCTCCTATCAGACAGAGGCAGGAGGGAAAAGCCTAAAACCAGAAAGAAAGAAAAAAAGAAAACGGGAGAAAATACAGGCCTGATTTTGCCTGTTCTTTCGCCTGGAAAAATTAGGAGCAACTAGTGGTAGATTTCCACAACCCCATGATGTGGTCCCCCCCATTAGAGGCCCCACACCTAGAACCCAACATCATTAAAATTGTGTCCAACCAACTTGTAAATATTTTGCTCTTACAGGTGGGCTGAAATGTCCAGCTCTGTGCCTGTTCTGGCAGTCTTATCTGCCGCAGCTACTTCCACACCTGAAAGGACACGGTGCACCTCTGCAGGCTGCCCGTGGGTGTGCCACAGCACCATCCCCCAGACGAGATCCCGACCCGGGCTCCTCTCTCCAAGATGGCGCCCTCCTCCAAGGGGGTTCCTGGGACACACTCATTAGGACACAGGGGTCCAACAGCTTTTAGTCCTGTTGGGTCCCACTGGCAACGTCCCCAGGCCCCTGGCTGCCCGGGAGCCCCTTGGGACTTGGATTCTCAGAGCGGGCAGGTCGTGTGAACAGCACCACCAGCCACCGCGTGTGACCGAGCCCAGTGGAGTCCTACTGCCAGGATGTCCCCGAACATGGACGGGACCCAAGGCTAGCACTTTAGCCAAACTTCATGCAGGTGTCTGAGCGGTGGATGCTTTGGGCAATAATGGCTCATCCTCACACTGATGATGCACTGTCAGGCCATTGCCTAAAAACTGTCCCCTTCAGAGTAAAGAACGCTGGAAATCTCTTGCCTCACAGATGCCAGAAATATAACTTAAAATCACACATGTCTCTGGATATACTAAGGCCACAATACGAGTCCCGACTAAGACAGCCTTACCCTTTGGAGTTACAAACGTTACTAACAGTAGCCAAGACACATGTCACTTGAGACCACCATGTCCCCGACACGTTCCACGACCGTTTCTCTGAGGGACATACTGGTCTTCTTGAACAATTCCTCTTCATATCCCAGTCCAATAAATGGGCCCCTAGTTGAGTCTCCATCCTGCCCTAGGCTTTACGTTCCCTTAATTGAGGGCCCTTTGCCCAACTCTCACCTCACACCAACCTGAAAAGCTTTCCCACTGTCCTTCCCTGTACTGAAGGGGAGATGTGTTCAGCCTCTGTGTAATGGAGACTGACTGGTCATGAGGCCCTTTGCTGATGTCTCCCTACCCCTTGTGTCCCTGTGTGGCCCCGGACCGAGTACCGGGCCTCCTGTTTCCTGGGATCGGTTGAGTATGAACTTCTTCCTGCACGGCAACCATTTCCCTGTGTGTGTGTCTCACCATAACTGGTTAAAACAAATCCTGAGTACACGTTTTGGAACAGTCTCCAGATCTCTCTCTCTTCTGAGGTCTTTACGTGGCCACTCCCGTGTCAAGTCTCCCTCTGCCTCCCCCTCACGAGGATGCCGTGATGACATATAGGGCCCATTCAGATCATCCGGGATTATCTCCCCTCTCAAGACCCTTCACTTAATCACACCTGCAAGTCTCTTCAGCACAGAAGGTCACGCTCAGAGGTCCTGGGCTTAGGACCACGGACACCACTGTGGCCAGCCAATCAGTGTGCATTTATTCCACTCACAACTTCTGTGTTAACTGTCACACATTTCGATTCTCTGGTGTATTTAAGCCCCCAGAATACGTTACAATATTTTTTTTTATATATCACTCTTCATTAGATTCGTGTACAACATAGTCTTCATGTACCTCTGGGCTGTGTGGGACCATTCTGCGTGGAGGTACCAGTTACCATCTCCTTGGTGAGGGCCACTGGGGACCAATGTCCCCAGAGTCCAGTTCTCCGCAAAGTCCTCATCTGACCTTCTCTTTGGAAGGAAAATTCTTGTTGGATTCAGAATTCTAACTTACCGGTTGTGTACTTCCAGGACTTTGAAGTTTTCATTTCACTGTGTATTGGTTTCAATTGCTTCTGTTGAAAAGTCAGTGAGCTTTGAAGATACTCTGTGGGTCTTTGGTTCCAGCCCTTCACCACGATGTGCTTGGGTTCGGCTTTCTTCATGCCTTTCTTCGTGGGCTTCCCGGCACTGCTTGATTCTGTGGCTGGGTATCTTCCAACACTTCTAGAAAATCGCCCGCCCTTATCTCTGCAAATCCTGTTTCTGTCACCAGCCTGGGGGACTGACTGGTCCGTTGGCGGCCTCCAGGGACGGGGTTGTGCTGTTTCAGGCAGGAGGGTGCAGGCACGAGACTTTTCACAGGGTGGCGAAACGTCTGATTGTGGAAGACGCGGTGCTGGACGACTTGCCTGGCGTGTGTATAACGTGAAGTGTAAACCCAGGCCAGGCCACCCAGCTGTCTGTCAGCAAGGTCCGCTCGCCTTCTCCAAGCCAGCTTGTGCCCCGACCACACCGGCTCCTTGTCACTTCGCTTTGCCAAGCCCACACCCCAGCGGCTCACCTATGACTCCGCTCCTTCCCTCCCACCCCTGCATCCAATCCGCCTGCGGTCCTAGCGCTCATCCTCCAAATGTGTCCCACATCCGACCACCTGTGCCCACGTCCAGCCATCGCAGGTCGGAGCCATCAAGTAGCCGCCTGACCCGTACATTAGGCGACTCCCCGGCCTCCGGGGCGATCCTCCGAAGCGTGAAGCCGACAACGGCTCACTCTCGGGCCCCGGGACAGCGGAGCGCTCTTACAGGAGGCGTCCGAGCACAGCCGGTGAGCAGGGCTGGCGGGTACCGCCGTCCAGCGGGGGAGGACCGAGCCAGGAAGGGGCAGCGGTCCAGGACCCCCCAGTCTGGAGCCCGGCGGCAGGGGGGCGGGGAACCCCCAATCCCCGCCCACTCACCGGCCCGCCCCTCCCGGGTTCCGAGAACCCACCCAGACCCGGCCCCGCCCCGCAGCGGCGGTCACGTGGCGTGCGACCCGGAGGCGGAACCGGCGGCGCAGACCTGGGCTCCCGGAGCGCAGAGGAGCCGCCGGGCCTGCGGGGATCGTGCGCCCGCGCCCCCCGCGCTCTGCCATGCAGCCCCCGGGCTCCCGCACCCCGCTGCTCGCGCTGCTGGCCGCGCTGCTGGCCGCGCCCCGGGCTCTGGCAGAGGCCCCGCACCTAGTCCTCGTGGACGCGGCGCGTGCGCTGCGGCCCCTGCGGCCCTTCTGGAGGAGCACCGGCTTCTGGTGAGCGCTGCACGCGGGGAAACGGAGGCCCGAGAGGCCCATCTCCCCTCCATCCCGCCGCGCGCTCCTCCCGAACCCGGGACGCGCTCCTGGACCCCCTGGTTGCATTGGAGAGACCCCTGGGCTCCCGCGCCCACCGCTCGGGCGCTCTGATGTGAGGAAGGCTGCCCAAGTCCTAACCCTTCCCTGGCTGGTTTACTCCTTCCTCTCGGGGTCCGCCTTCAGTCAGACTGGGGGTTTTCTTTGTCGGCCGGCCCCAGGCGGTGTTTTGGGTGCCCCGAGGGGTTTTCTGAGTGGGTGCCCGGTGTGGTGGAGACCTGCGGACAGGCCCTGAGTTTGCGCGGTGGCCACCTGGGGCCGTCCAGGCGGTCACCTGGAGCAGCGGCCCAGGACCCTCCCAAGGGGGCGGCCACAGTGATGTCAGACATCCCTGTCATGGGACCTATCTCCCAACCCCCCTGTGTCTCTGACCCCCCCTCCCGTGGCTCCGACCCCGCCCCCCTCGTGTCTCCACGACCTCCATACAGGTCTCCCTCTGTGGCCTGCTTCTGGCTGAGATCACCTGGCTGAAGGGGGAAGGAGCAGGGTATTGGGATGGGGTCCTCTCTTCTCAGGGTGCCCCTGATTTCCATAAACGTGAGACAGAATAACATTCCTGACGTTGGGGGTCATTTTATTACATCAGGGACGGTAACATTCATTGGCAGGTAGTCCGCACTCCAGCTGCTGGAGGTGGGTGTCCTGGGCAGTCCCAGGCCCTGTCCATGGGGCCTCATGCCCCATCCCCCTTGTTCTTTCCCCAGCCCCCCACTGCCTCACAGCCAGGCTGACCAGTATGACCTCAGCTGGGACCAGCAGCTCAACCTGGCCTATGTGGGCGCTGTCCCTCATGGTGGCCTTGAGCAGGTCCGGACCCACTGGCTGCTGGAGCTCGTCACAGCCAGGTAAGTGGTGGGGGCAGCCGGCAGAGCCCCCTTCATGGAGAGGGGGACCAAGGCTAAGGGGAGAACTGTGTTGGGGTATGCAGGACCGGGCAGTGTGAGGGCTGCGGCGGGGGCAGAAGAGAGGGCTCCTGCTCTGAGGGGCTGTTGCCCTCGCACTTCCCAGCAGAGTGTCCTGTGTGGGGCTCTGGTGGGTGCTGGGCAGCCCCTGCACTGGGCACAGCTGACATCCCGCTGGATATCACTTAGAGGCTCAGGGGCAGGTTGGTGTCCCACTGCACCAGCTTTGTGGCTGAACCAGCACCAGCAAGTGTGCACCCACGTACCTCATGTGATGTGCATGTGGGTCAGGCTTTGCAGGAACGCTGCCCAAGGGCTGGGCTGAAGTCGCGTTGGTCCCACCCCACTTCGGCCCTGCAACGCTCCGCCCAGCCAAGGCGTGGGACGAAGGAACACTTGGGTGTGTGTTTGGAAGACTTCAGAGACACAGAGATCCTCAGGCCCCCGGCCAGAGCTGCCCCCTCTCACCAGCGGGCCCAGGACTGGGCCGGCCAAGGGACCAGTATCCTGTGGGCACCTTGGAGGCATCCTGATTGCCTTGGGCCCTTGTTCAAATAGGAGGTGACACCTGGTGTCAAATCGACCCTGCAGGACCACGGACGCACAGCACGCGGGCCCAGGGTGTCTCTGTGACAGTTTGTTTCAAAGGTGCCGCTCTTGGATGTTCAAGTGTCTGGGGCTTCTGTGTGCTCCCCGGTTCCTCCAGGGTGGAGGGGCGCAGTGTCGCTCTTGGAGGGGTGTGGTGAGTGGTCGGTGACCGGTTGTGGGAGCGTATCTGCTGAGGGCTCCTGGGACGCTGCTAGAGGGCAGAGTCCGTGGCTGCCAGCGCCCTGCGGCGGGCTCGGGCCCCCTGCACGGCGCTGTGCACGCTGTGGAAGAGCTGCCCCTCGTCAGCCGCGTCCCCCTGGCCCCCCCCAAGGAAGCCACCTCTCCTCAGGGTGTCCCTCACCAAGGGGCTGCAGCAGGCCAGGAGCAGGGTGATGCCCAGGGCCCCGTAATCCCGGCGCAGGTCCTGCAGCGTGGCCACACCGGCTGCATCCAGGAATAGCATTGGGGCACAGTCGATGACCACAGCATGGAAGCTGGCTGCCGTGGTCACCAGTGCAGCCGTGCTGGTCACTGGGCCCAGGTCCACGCCCTCAACAGGGTCTCCCTCACTGGCCCTCGCCTCCAGGCCCCGCTCCTTCTTCCTGGTGGCCGCGTGCCCTGCATCCAGCCCCGTGAGGCTGTAGAGTGACCGCAGGAAGAAATCCTTGTTGGCGTAGTAGAGCGGCCCTGCAAAGCGGAATATCTGCACCCCAGGCTCAGGGACCAGGCCCTCAAACTCCGCAGTGTCCTCGTAGAAGCCAGAGTCCCCGATCTGAGCAAGCAGGGCAGCCCGCGGGCGCTGGGTGCGGCCAGCCAGGCTGAGCAGAGACAGGAGGATGCCGGCCAGCAGCCCCACCTCTACACTGACCAGGGCACAGGTGGCTGCCGTGGCCACCCACACCAGCGCATCAGCAGGGCTGAGCCGCCACAGCTTTGGAACGTCCCTCACCTTGCGCAGGGCGCCCCGCAGGCTGACCACAATGACGCAGGCCAGCACGCACCGCTGCAGGTCCCGGAACAGTGGCGCCAGGGCCAGCAGTACCAGTAGCACCACGGCAGCGCTGACCACGCTGGACAGCTGCGTGCGGCAGCCGGTGGCCGTCTTCACGAGGCTCTTGGACAGGGCGGCGCTGGTGACATAACAGTGGAAAAAGGCAGGCAGCACATTGCAGCAGCCCACGGCCAGCAGCTCCTGGTTGGCCCTCACGGAGTAGCCGTGGCTCCGGGCAAACATCTCAGCCAGAGAGATGGAGAAGGCAGAGCCCACGAGGGCCAGGGGCACAGCGTCCAGCACCACACGCCACATCAGCCCAGGGTCTGGCACCCGGGGGGCCACGAAACCAGTGGGGATGTCACCGGCCACGCTGGAGCCAAAGCGTTCGTGGAGCTGGCTGAAGTGGGACACCAGCGTGGCCGCCACAATGACCAGTAGCTCCGTGGGCAGTGGCACCTTTAGGCGGTGCCGGCAGCGGTCTGAGAGCTCCTTAGAGGCCAACAGCACAGCCAGGCACGTGGCACTGGTGACCACGTCGCAGAGGTTGGCCTGCCCAGCACTGCGCAGCAGGCTCAGCCACGTGCTGACCACCATGCCCGGCCCTTGGTGCCGTGGGATCTGCACGCCCAGCAGGTGCCTCAGCTGGGAGGTCAGGATGGTCACCGAGGCCCCCATGGCAAAGCCATCGAGCAGTGGCTGGGAGAGGTAGGTGGACACAAAGCCCAGCCGGAGGATGCCCATGAGGACCTGTGGACAGAGTGTGGTCAGGGCAGCGGGCTGCCTGGTGCAGCAGAGGGGGTGGCCACAGCACAGAGCTCAATACCCTTATTTCCCGAGTGGACTCTGGAGTGCCTGCACACACGTGTGCGCACACAGGCACAGCGGATGCTGGAGGTGCGCACGTGGCCTCGTATGCTCATTTCTGGTCCTTTCACGCATGCCAGCTCTGGGCATCGGAAAGCAGCTCCTTTCTCCTGTCCTGCGAGGGGCACTGCCCCCCACCCGGGAGACCCGGGGCCCCTGGGAGGGTGTGACATTGGGGTGGACAGGACAGGCCTGGTCCGGGAGACCCCTGGGTGTGGGGACGCTGCAGGAAGGGAGGCAGCCTCTCGGGATCCCACCTGGGACGGGAAACCCAGGGGAGCTGCGTGGGCCAGTCAGGCGTGTCTGGAGCTGAGGCCCCACTCCAGCCAACTATTGCTGTCCAGGCCACAGCTGGCTGGGCGGGGGCCCCCATCCTGGGTTGCCGTCCCGTGCCCACCTCTGCCTCAGCCTGCTCTGTCCTGTCGTTGCCGGTTAAACCCACCGTTCTCTGAGGCCCTGAGCCCACACTGCCCTGGGCCCGGCCCTTCTGAGTGGGCGGTGAGCGCCCAAGGGGCCTGCGCCTCGCTTGGCACAACCCCAGCCGGTAGGCCCCTCACCTGGTAAATGCCGGCTACCAGTGTGAGGGCAGCGGCAACGCGGATGGCGTAGCAGTCCTGCTCACAGTCCTGCGGACCGGGCCCCGCGGCAGCGGCTGAGGCGTTGACCCTGCTGCCGTTGTCCCCGGGCCCAACGCCGTCCTGGGCGGGGCCAAAGCCGGCCAGCAGGAGCTCGCGGTCCACCACCTGGCCCACCATGAGGCAGAGCAGGCTGAAGATCCCCACGGACACGTGGTGAGAGGTGCCCATGAGGAAGTAGATGAGGTTCGCGAAGAAGGACGTGTACAGACTGTAGATGGGCTGTAGTCCCGCCAGCAGTGAGTAGGCGATGGCCTGTGGCACCAGGATGATGCCGATGACCAGCCCGGACATGACGTCGCCTGCCAGGGCCTCCCGTGGGCGGTACCGGCGCAGCCAGCGTGTGGCGGGGAGCAGGTCCTGCACCAGCGTCCAGGCCCTCTGCGGGCTGCACGCGCACCTCCACCACAGCCTGGCTTTGAGCATCTCACGCAGGCCCAGGGGCGCTGGGGACCGCCGGCGGACCAGCACCGGCCCCCCGCCCCGCTGCACGCACTCAGGGGACACCTCCATCCGGCCCGCCACGCTTCTGGGGGAAACTTGCAATGGAGGTGGGCGTCAGCGCCGAGGTCAGAGGGCCGCACAGAGACCCAGACCTATGTGTGGCTGAACCCCGCTCCGCTGCTCCCTGTCCACCTCCCCATGCGGGCACAGGCCCCTCCACCACCCATCCCAACCACCACGGTCCCCTCTGGCACCCCTAAGTCAGCTCTGTACCATGGGCTTGGAGCACGAGGGCCTCCCGATGCCCCCCGTTGAACCTTGGAGGGCTGCTCAGACGGCAGCACTGACCACTCCCTGCTCCTTGTGGCAGAATTCCTGGGACGTGCTTTGGGAGGGTGATCTCGGTGGGGGCCAGCTGGGAGGGAAGTTGGGGTGACTGGCATCTGTCCTCTGCCCGGTTCCCCGGGATTGTGGGGTACCCTTTCCCAGGTGTGTGATCACACTCCTGAGGCAGGTCGGGGTCTCAGACCACACAGGTGCACCGTGGAACACAACCGTGGGACTGCCCCTTGTGTCCCGAGGGCAGCTGGCCTTCTCTTGCCTTGTCACCCCAGGCCCAGGACATAGGGCCTGGGGTCTCCCCGGGCTGTGGAGGATGGCATGTGTGTGTCGGGGGGCAGGCAGGCACAACCCTCATGAGCTCCAGGGGGACGTTGAGCTGTGCTTCCTTCCTGGGACGACCTCGGCACACAGGGGTCCCCCCGAGCCCCCAGAGTCCAGGTGCGTAGAGTGAGGACTGTTTAAGTGGCATCTGCCTTGTGCCGGAGGGTCCACGAAGGAGACCCTAGAACCGCCCTGCCCTCCCCTTCACCCAGGGAGTTGGCCTCTCCTGTCGCCTTGGGGATTTCACGGTCCTGCCGCAGGGCTCCGAGATGATCTTACCTGAGGGGGCCTCTCACAGGCTTGGAGGACCGGAGGGTAGCGAGGGAGCTGGCCTGTCAGCCTGTTGGGGCCAGAGTCTGCCGGCCAGCTGGACCTCCAGAGCCCTCTGGCTTTTGTTGGCGGGTAGGGGAGTGTGGGCGGCAGGCTTCTGGCTCAGAGCTGGAGCCAGGAGCCAGGCCACGGCAGAACTGGCGCCCACCGCGGGCAGTGCTCCGTGGTGACCATCTGACTGCTTGGCCAGCTGGGATTGCAGTTAAATTATTTACCCCAAAGATTGCTGAGTCACGGGTTTCCCCCAGACCAGTGTTACCTGAGCGGCTAATCCAGGGAGTTGTACTGTAATCAGAGGCTCACAAACAATTGTGTGGGCCTCTTAATAAGCTCCCAGCCTCCCAGTGGGGCCCCAGGTGTGGGACAGGGTGGGCAAGGGCACCCAGTGGCTGGAGCAGGATGCTTGGATTCTGGGGTCCCTGGGGGAGGCGGAAGGCCCGGGAGCCCAGCCAGTCCTGGGACAGGGCACAGGCAGAGGGGACCCTTCAGCTCTGGGGCCTATTGCTGTGGTCCCCACAACTAACCAAGGGTAGGTGCTGGGGATGGGGCTGGTCTCGTCATCCTCCCTGTTGTGCCGTGAGACAGGTCTGGTCCACGCTGGAGCCCCGGCCTGAGTGGCACTGGGCAGCTGTATGCTTGGCGTCTGTTGTGTGTCCTTGTGTGGAAAGCAGGTGTGAGGCTGCCGCTAAGTGTGTGTGTGTGCACGCGTGTGGGTTGTTGAGGGCAGGAGGGCCAGCAGGCATCACGATATGCTACCAGCCAGGTGCACCCTTCTTGCTGTGGGGGGGTGGGGGTCTGACCCCCTGCGTGACTGGCCGGTGCCCGGCGTGGGCAAGGACTGGCTTGAAGGCACATGAGGGCTTTAGATGATTAACCACGTGACCCACCAATGATACGATGACTATTCTGACCCCCACCTTTACACTGAGTGACAGGTGGACTTCTATCACTGGGATCTTGAAGGGTTATGTGTGGAAAGGGGCCCATCCCGCCGTAGCCCCATACCCCCTATTGCTCTCCTGTCCCCCCAGGACACAGCCTAGGGTTTTCCCTCCACTGACCCCCCCCCCCAGAGTCCAGCCCAGGACCCACTTGGCCCCTGGTGGGAGCTGTTTGCCCAGATCAGGAGCTTCAGGCCCCTCCCTGGGGCAGATCAGGTGCACCACGGGGTGCAGAGGGGAGGGCAGCTATTGAGGGGGGTATATACGTTTATCTCCTACCCCAGCTACTGGCAGAAGGGCAGAGAGAACTCCCTGGGTGACCTCAGCGCCCTTGGGGGTTTTGTGACACAGAGGACTCCTTGGTGCCCAGAGCAGCGGTGGCCAGGGGGCAGATACACATGTGTGCTCGTGCTGGGCCACGGGGCCTGGGTGCTGGTGTAGGAGAGGGGGTTCCTCGGGGTGGGGACCTAGTGTGGGAAGGGGCCCTTCCTCTGAGTTAGGAAGGGGAGGGGCAGCGGTTTCTGGAGGCTCTGGGCAGGAAAGCACCTGGGTGGGGTGAGATTCAAGGCAGATGGAGATATTTCAGGGAGGGGCTCATTGGGCCTACCCCCAGCCCCTATCCTGTCAGATGCAGCACGGGGCCCGGCTTTGGCTCCCTTGCCAGCAGGGATTGGGCCTCATACTCTGCCCAGGCTGGGTGTCTAAACCAGGTGAAGGAGTAACAGTTGAGGTCACGTCTGACCGTTGGGAGAACTGCAGGACACCCCAGCCCCTGCCGTGTCCCTCCCCGGCTTCTCTGCGTTGAGGCTGGTGATCGGGCACCTGTGGTCTCGCTCCCGCACACGGGTATCTAGTCCTGGGCGCTTGCCTGCCAGAGGGGCTGCTGAGGCCCACAGCCCCTTACTGCGGTGGGCCCACGGAGCTGCAGACTTCACCCGCGCAGGGGCCTTGGGGTTCACCCTGCTGGACCCTCCCTCTGGGGGCTTCTGCCCAGCCCTAGGCCACATGGTTATTTCCTTACAATTTGTCTTTAAATCCCCGTTTTAAATCGTCAAATACGCTTATTTGGTACGGAAATGTTGTATCCCGACCCCGAGTGCAAAGGGGCTGCCGGGTTGATGGCCCCTATTGCTTCCAGGGCCCTGAAACGCCGCCGTGGTGCACGGGCCCCGGGTGCTGGATGGGAAGATGGAGAGCACCCGGCCTCTCCCGCCAGCTGGCCCTGAGCCTGACACCCTCCTACCTCCATCCTTAGACTGAGGCTGCGGGTTCCCTTGGGGGGGCGGGCCTGTGAGCTCCCCGCGCGCGCGCCCGTACACATCTCCCTCTCTGAGCGCATGGCCCCCGGCTGGCCGCGCACTGCGCTCCCCGCCGGATCCTCCTGCTCCGGGAGCGCGCGCCCCGCGTCTTCGCCCCGCGCACCCTCCGTGCGCGCCCCCCACTCGGCACCCCCGCCGTCGAGCACCCGCGGCCGCGGCCTCGTCCTCACTCCCCTGCGCACGTGAGGCCGGGTCCCTCTCCGCGCCCCCGAGCACTCCCCAGGCGGCTGCAGCTCTGTCCTCCCGCGCACGCGCTCAGGCCCTGCAGTGGGAGGCCTTGGCGCAGCCGGACAGCCGCAGGCGCGCGTGAATGAGCCTTTTGTGCAGCCGCCGCAGCCCGGGCCCACGTGCCAGAGCCAGAGGACTCGCGCCCAGGTTCGGACCGTTCCAGGGCCGCGGAATGGATGCTTGTCGGTGGAGACCCAAGCCTCTCTGCACTTCACCTCAACGCTCAGCCCCCTCCCTAAATGAGGTCTCTCAGATCCTCACTCTGACTGGGCCAGGCAGAGGGAGACCAAGGCACCCACAGTGGTGCCTAAGGACCTCTGGGGTGGGTTTTTTGGCCCCTGGGACCCGTGTATTGGTCCCCAGGGTATCCTTAGCTGTGGAGGCTGGCTGGGCCAGGGGACACTCCTCTCCATCCAGGGGGACGGGCTGGGGATGCCTCTGCGTTAGGGCTCCCCCGTGGTACCCCACTGGCAGAGGACACCACCCATAGGAGCAGCGTGGATCTGAGGCCTGCTGTGCACCCAATGTGTGCAGGCTGGGATTATCACCGCCAGGGGCTGCAGGGAAAGCCTGGAGCCCCTGCACATGCCTTCACTTTCCACTTGGTCACCCCATCACCCCTGCCCACCCTCCTCCCACACAGTAGTGGGACTTTGGAACCCTCTGCTGTGTACATTTAATTTTTACCCAAGGGCTTGTTTTTTCTTTGCTACTAGTTGTGACCTTTGGATGGGAGGGGAAGGGTGAGGGAGGTGATCCCCACTGCCCACAAGCTTGTCCTGCTGGGCCCCAGAGATGGAAGGACGCAGCCCCTGCACAGAGGGGCCAGCAAGGGAAAGCAGAGTGCAGGGCCCGGGAGGGCAGAGGAACTTGTGTGTGGTGGCTTGACCTGGTCCCCGGGTTGGACTCAACGCCAGGCCCAGGCTCAGCCTTGACCCTGTACAAAGTGAGGCGTGGGGCAGAGAAGGGTGGAGAGGGGAGGTGTTGGCTTCTCCATGTCGTCACTGTGTCCAGGGAGACGGTGGGCCAGCCAAGCTGTGGCGTGGGGTGGGCAGGTTGACATGAAAAGCTGTTCTGGGCCAGGTCCTGTGGTGACCCCACGCGGCTCCGCCCCAGCTGCCACAAGAGGGTGCACCGCAGGCCCTCCTGCCCTTGGCTGCCTTCCTCCCTGGGATGGACGGATGGAGCAGGCCTGTCCTCAGGGGAAGCCCTGAGAGGCCTGCCAGCCCGTCGGCCTGTGCTCCTCATGAGGCAGCACCCCCAGCCCGGGCCACCCCGGGCTCCGTGCACATCCCTGCACGACTCTTCCCGCCCCGGCCCCTTGCCTGTGCCTGACTGGAAGGCCACCAGCTTCCCCACCCAGCCCCCAACGCCGGGTCCACCCTCGGATGCCACCTGTACCCCCACCCACCTCGCTGCTCAAGCGAAGTATGAGGGGTTGTGCAAGACCTGCCCCCTCCATCCGCAGATGTTGCCCACCCTACCTCATAAGTCCATCTGCTCTGGCTCCTTCCTGCTGCCTTTGTAGCCACTGCCCTGTCCTGGCACTTACACCAGCCCCGGGCGGACCTTTCCAACCATCATGGCCAAAGGGAAAACTATGGAGACAGCACCAAGATCGGCAGGTGGAGCACGGGGGATGTGGGGGCCGGGGAGCAACTCGGGGTGGCACTGCGGTGGTGGGCACCTGTCCTGATGCC